AAAGGTGAGACTCATGGAGCATCCTAAACTAACTTAGATAATTTCTAGCATAAGTCACATCATTCATGCAATTTAAATAATATAGAAGCATGTTATACAAGGCAACAAGATATAGATTCTCAAAGTTATCAACTTGAAATCTAAAATGCGAAAACAATTAAAGTGAGTCATGCCACCTAACATCTATGTTCCAAATGAATCTATAGGATCATTCCTAAGCTAAATTTGAACATTTTAACATAAATGTATTTAACAACATCAAAATTTGCAATGATTCATTAAAAATCAATACGCCTGAATGCACTTAACAACATCAAAACTGCGATGATTTATTAAAATAATAAAGTATAAATGCATTTAACAACATTAAAAACATGTAATGATTCCTTACAAATCATAATGCATAAATGTACTTAACAATATTAAAAACATGCGATGATTCCTTACAAATCATAATGCATAAATGTACTTAACAACATTAAATCGCCAATAACCAAAACCACAAGTCACAATTAAACATTGGTTGTCAACTTGGAATTGAATGCGAAAACAAATAGTGAAAGACTTGGATATCAAATCTCGGATAAAGCCAAGACCTAAACGGTTATTCCGAGCACTAACCGCTTGGAATAATACCCTAGTGCGCATTATACAAAATAGGGAGAACTCGTATCTCCCGCACTAGAACCAAACTCTAGCCATAACAATCGTAACAATGTCCCAAGTGACTCCAAAATCAAAAGAAATAAGTTCACAACTTATACGCAATTTAAGTAATGCACGAAACTACCTTTCATGCGCAAGTAGGTTGAAACTATACAACACATGCTCTAAATCCATAGCTACTATAGGATGACAAATGTCGAATCTTCAGAGTGCGATTCATTACATGCTATAATAACATCACATGTCGAATCTTCAGTGTGCGATTCGTTACACGCTATAGCAATTCAATTCAATATTGAAAGCAAAAACTCATGAATCCATTACAAATCTAAAATCATGATTTAAACATACTCCCAACGTCAAACACATAATTAAATCAGTAATGTAATAGAAACAAAAATTAATTAAATAACTAAGTAATTTCTCAAGGTTTCACATCTCAATCAAATGATCTCTAATTAATGCATGTTAAACAACATAACTTGATTATTACATATATCAAATCAAAAACTTAATTAGGCCTTGGAACAATAAAATGTAATTAAATCATAATAATCAAATCCTTAAATTCTAAAACAATATCAAATGGTCCCAAATTAATATTTGCTAGTATACAAGTTCTATCATCACAAATATCAAGTTAAAAACTTAATTAAGCCAATGGAACCATTAAATAGATTTTAATTAATCATTTTAATTAAAATCTTTAGATTTTCAAACTTATCCAAATGTTTTCAAATTAAAATATGTCAAAGAATATATCAAGACTTAATTTAAAAGTATATCACAAGTTATTTTCATGCAAGGTATGTCCATGAGAATTAAACTTTCACAAAAGGAAATTATTAAATAAAAAGTGCAATTCTTATTCAAATAATCCCAATTTAATATATGTTAACAAATATACCAAATCCAAATTTTCTAGTACGCCACAATTTAATTCTAAGTTGTATATCATCATGAGAATTAAATCATAACCATTAAAAATAATTAAATTAAATTCTAAAACTTAAACCAAAGCATGCATACAAGTTGTATAAACTTCTAAAATCATCAATACAACATTAATATAAACTTAAGACACCCCCTACCGCAATTTGAGATGAAAATCTCAAAAGCCACCAAAATGAAACCGCCCCGAATCCGACGATACTTCGGGGTTTTGTCCGGGACAACACGGTGAACAAAAAAACCCCAAGGAAGCCATACTAAAAACACAACTTGACTTCAAACACGAACTCAAAAAACTAGCCAAAACAAGATTCCAATCGGTGGAATCGAAGGCCTCACTAAGGCTAACATAAAACACTAAGGCACTACGGTGTTTCACTAAAGGGAGGAGGCTCAAAAGAGGAAAGAGAAGGTGGCAGCCTATGGCTGCCATAGAATCCGGCCAAGAGAGAAGAAAGAGAGAGAAAAATCTGATTTTTCTTTCTAAGACTCTCTATTTATAAAAAAACTCAAAAAGTGTCCCGAACGGGCCTCCCCGAGTTCGGAAAAGTAGAATTCATGCAGATGTGCTCAAACGGCAAAACTCCGTGAATGAAAAAGAACTGAAATGAGAAAAGACGAACAATGGAAGAAATGACGTCAAAAACCGAATCTCAAGTAAAAAGATATGCCCCGAACAAGTTCGGCGACAACTAGGGCCAAAAACCTTGAAACTAGAGAAAAATAACTAGAAGGAAATTTTAAGAGTATGCGACTCGACGAAAAGTGAAAATGAATCCTGTACGAGGATTCAGGCTCAAAACAAAGCATTTTTGCGATAACTTTCATTAATTGCATAATGGCTCCTCCAAAAAGTGATAACAGCACTAATGACCCAGAATGAAAATATCTTCCAAAAATAAAATATCTTCAAAAGATATTTATGAAAAATACCCCAAGAAAAGAAAATGTTTATGAAGAACTATGCATCCATGCCCCCATGGACACCGGGAGCAACCAGAGAGCTTTTCCACAAAAGTAAAGATGTGTATTTCGTGGAAACCACTTAGAATGAAGATACATGAAGTCAAAAACCAACTCCGAACACAAAAAGTGAGGCTATGCCAGTAAAGTGACAAACGGGAAAAAGACAAAATAGAAAAAAATATGAAAAGTGAATAGTGTCCAAAAAGTGAAAATATGGAAATGACTCGGTCCTTAAAGGAAGTTGTCAATCCAAAGAAAAGAGTTTCAAAAACCATCCTAAGCACTCAAGATGATACTAGGTGACACAAAATCGAACTCAGAAAAGAAAAGATCAACGAAAAAAAAATATCCGTAAAAATCTGAGAAAATGAAAGGAAGAAAAATGACTGGATCATTATAATATGTGTATCATTGTTTATTAAAGATAAAAACTTTATTAGGTTTTGTTTTGGTCAGAGATGATTTCTTTAATAGTTTTTAGAGACCTGATAGAGAGAACTTGCTCATGGGTTTTGACCCACTTATTTTTATCTTTCAGGTTATTAGATGTTCAAGTCTCAAGGTTGAGGATCCGCAGCTGAAGGACTTATGTATTCTTTCGGTTTATTACAAAGGAGGATGATAAACTTATTTTATTTATAGTTGACTGGATTATTGGATAATGTTTTTAGGGGTGCTTGCATTATGGGATTCCCAAGTTATAATTTTGGAGAATTATTAATAAAATTATTATTTATTAGTTTTCGTCAGCGATTTATTTATTTATTTTTAATTCTTTTTGTAATCTGTACTTGTTTAAATACTTTAATTGTTTTGATATTTCTTAATTTTGTGCGTGGATTTGATCAACTTGTATTTTGAAATTTGGGGGTATCACACAACACAAGCACCATTCAAGTCCGAAGTGCGGTTCGAAAACGATACCTCAAGAACTTACCTCCTGGATCCTTGCCAATGCCGTTATGCCTCTAGGGCCTACTAGAGTAATATATAATGGAGATGGTTTAGGCAAGTGAAATAAAAGTTACTCTAATCCAGTGGCTCAAGAGTTCTCAAAATTCAATTCAGTAAGTTCTAAGATCTAAACACTCCAATATATAAAACCAATAGTTAGAGCATCTCCAGCTATTGTGTATGTATATTTTTTTGTGAATCTAATGTGTTATAGTAGATTTACCCAAAATTTTTGGATTACTCATCTTTAACTCCAACAATTATTTTATACCTTTTGTATAAAAATATATCTGCCAATAATAACCAACCACGTATCATATATATTTTACATAAAATGGTGTTTTAACTTGAGATACTCTTAGAGAGGTTTTAACATTTACATCATAAGTACATCTAATTTTATTCCAAGTGTTAATACATAAAATAAAATTTCTAATTTTAGTCTTAGCGTTAATGGATAAAAAAATTTGTTGCGTACAAAATTGTTCAAACCATATAAATTTATATAGACTATTAGATATAAACTAATAATTGTATCAATATATATTTAATTTTTAAGAGAGGTGATATTCGCGCTCCACTTTTCAATATTTGCATTACAATCTTAAATAAAATGACAATTCTGACCTTACCTTTACAAGTTAATTATTACTTTTTAAATGACACAATTGCCCTTTCATATTTTATCTCCTTATCTCTAATTTTTAATATTTTAAGTATCTTTTGGCAACACAAATAAAATAAAACTTGAATAATTTTTTTTTAAGGGACCAAAAAAATAATAAAATTTTGTTATGTTAAATAAATTGCCTCTTTTGGCCGGGTAAAAAAATAAAAAGCAACCATTTAAAAAATTATCTCTTTTGACATGAAGAAAGAAAACTCCCAAAAATATATATTTATTGAATAAATTTTATTAGTATAGAATAAATTATTTTCTTTGAGAGGACCTCTGGAGAAAGTAAAATGAAAGAAAAAAAAATAGTAAAAAGGGTTTTAAAAAAAAATTATATAAAAGGTAGTTATGACATTATAAATTAAGGAATTGTGCATTATTAAATTCAAGGACTTTTTTTGTCATTTCTTTTAAAAGAAAATGATAAATACAATGCAATTAGAGAAAAATATAATGCGAATATCATCTCCCATTTTTAAAAACAAAAACAATACTATATTTTCTAAACATGATTTAAAAATTTTGGCAATAAAAGGACTTTCCAAATGTGCTTTATTTTTGAATTTATTGAAATTCAAGACGTTACCGAATATGTTTTGCATTTTTATATTTTTCGAATTCCGATAACAAATTTCGTTAGCAAAGATGTTTTTGATGTCTACCTAAAATACTCTAGCCAGAAAAATTGTTGTTTTCCTCTAGCGAAAGAAAAAAAAAAAAAAAAAAAAAGGAAAAAAAAACAAAAGGGCCAAAAGATTTAATTTTGAGGGGGTATTTAAGAGATTTGGTCTATTGAGAGGTCAGGTATGGTTGAGGTAAAGGCGTTCAAACCGTATAAGCAGAGGCATCGTGCTCTGGTTCTAGTCAGTCTGCAAATTGGCCGGCGTTGGCTCTGAACTTCCTGCTTATCCCAAGGCTCCACCTCTTCTTACCTTATGAGCGTTGATGTCTATCTATGTACTGATATAACCATTGTATATCTCCTTCCCTTATTTAACATAATAATAACATTAATTATACTATCCACACACACTCTCTTACATCGCATGAACTCTGATTCTGAAACCCTAGTTCCACGCCATTGCAGCTCCTTCACAGCCTTTTTTTTTCTTCTCTTCTCGCCTTGAGTCTCTGGCAGTTACGAAACTCCGACACAGGCAAGATTCCTCTGACAATGCACGCTTCTCTTGGATTTTTAGCTTTATCTGTTTGAATTCCCCATATTTTCATCGACTCGGAAGTTCAGGAAATTGTAAGAGATTTGTTTTTGTTCATGACATTATTTAGTCAATGCATTTGATTAAATTAAGAGTGAGTTTTTGTTAGTCCGGACTAATTTTTAAATCTACTTTTGAACGAATCTAGGGTTTGGTTTCACCGAGAAGATTGTGATTTCTGAATAGGCTTAATCCACCAAACTGTGCTTTGTCCTTCTCATTTTTTATTTTTTTTTAAAATTTTTGAAATTGTTGATTTGTTGCATATTTTTATTTATTTATTTATTTATTTTTGAATGTCATTTATTATTATATTTGCTTTGTAGACTTTTGAATGGATGATATAAACGAGGTGGAGATGGAGGATAGAGAAATACAGGGGTCAAGTTTGGCGGTTGATGGACAAGATTCTGAGAACAACCTGGTTGATGCGACAGTTGAACCCGAAAGTGAAGAATCACCTCGCTCTGAGGATGCAGGTGACCAAAATACCAACAGAAGATGGGAGGAGGAGAAACAACCTAGCAAAAATGAGGCTGAAGGCGAAGAACCTAATGAAAATGTAGTAGAACCACCTCTAGAAATGCCTGTGAATGAGGCCCACCACAGCGACGATGATGGATTGGTAAATGTACAAGGGGAGCTTGACCATAAAACCACTGCCGGTCCAGCTGCTGTCGATGGTGATGCTGGTCTTAGTGAAGTTCCAGATAGTAAACATGATTGTGATGATACTAGTATTGCAAATCAGCATGAACTCACTACACCCAATTCCATTGTGAAATGTTCAAATGCTAAAGCTCAAGATGACACCAGCGAAACACCCAAGAATTGGGTGAATGAAAAGAAGGTACTTTCGTAAAATTTACCCTGAAAAGGGAAAAAAGAAAAATAAGGTTTGCAATTTCAGATAAATGGGCTGAGAAATTGAGTTGGGAAGTTGAATGACACCGTGATAGTCTGAATGTTTATTAACTGCTATTTCTTGTTGACTTGCAGAAGGCTGAGGATGATGAATCTGGAACACCAGAAGACCAAGCAGCATTTATGAAAGATCTGGAAATTTTCTACAGGGAAAGGGCCATGGAATTTAAACCCCCCAGGTTCTATGGGCTGCCACTAAATTGCCTCAAGTAAGTTTCCTCTGGCTTTGACTCTGCTTATTAGTGTATTGGCATTTTAATTACAGCCTAATTTTTTTTTTTTTGGTGTGCTTTTAACTGGTTGTAGGTTATGGAGAGCCGTCACAAGATTGGGTGGATATGATCGGGTATGCATGTGTCATATTCAGTTATATTTTATTTTCATGTTTTTCATAATTTGGAAACATCAACAATGTTTTTACCTACCCCTTATTGTACTTGGTAGGTGCTGAGTAAAATCTTGAAGACAATTAGATAATGTGATGTCTCTAGTAGTATGGTTTTTGTTTTGAGAAATATTTAAATAGTTTAGAGGATCAAATGTGATAGTGGCCTATATTGAATACTTAGAAAATGAATTGCTAGGTTTTTACAAAAAATTACTCATGATGATGCTATGCTCATAGCAACATATCTTATCAGCAGAATGCCCTTCGATGTTCTTGAAATTAGAGCTCCCCCTTGAGTTACTTCTTGAAATACTTCCATTTATTCCACTACTCCACGAATATCTGGATGTGTGTGTTTTGTTCATGATTATTGAATATCGAAGGGGAAACTTTATCTAAAGGCTTTTGGCGTGCCTTTATTGGATACTTGGCCGCTCAGAATGGGTACAAATGTTATCATTCCCAATCTAGGAAAGTGTTTTTTTGCATGGATGCCACATTTCATGAGTTAAAGGCGTTTTACTCTACTCATCAACCCTCTATTTAGGGGGAGGCGTAGCATAGAGGAAAAGAGGTTTTTTCTGTAGCCTCAAGTCTAAACCCATATTCCCATTTGGTACATTGGGGAGGACACTCTTGCTCCTTCTAATGAGGGGAGGATTCTACAACTATTAGGGGAGCAAAATATTCATAACGAGGTGCTGATTACTTGAGAAGATTGGATAGGGTGATGTTGGGATTGTGTCCCTTCATGGCAATGAATGGGATGTAATTGCCATTTGTTGAATAATAGAATCTGGGTTGTCATTAAATGCTCTGCATACTTATATGGTGAATGCTTGTATTGGTCGGTCCATGAGATGGATCGTGGTTGTCTTACTCAGCCATTGAAGCGAATTACTGCCGCAGAAGTGATTAAAATAGTCTAGTAGACAAGGTGAGATATCATTGATAGGTGGGGAGACATATGTCGGTCTCACACTCGCCTTGACATAGCGCATGCAGATGGAGTTGCTAATCTACTTATGCGTGATCCTTGCACATGACTAGAAGATGTCTATTGTGTTTTGAGATAAAGTTTGCTCCAGGAAAAGGTATGTTGTTTGCTATTCGTGGACACCTCAATCTAAACACAAATTGTAATTGCTATAAATTATGTCATTCCATTTTGCAAAGAATGCAACAAAACTTTCGGTTTCATCTCTTCTTATAGTTTCAAATTAGTTGTTGAGATTTGAAGTTTCGAAACTTAATACTATTGAGATACCATCATGTAATTTCCAAAGCTTCCCTAAATGCGGTGGTGCACATGGAGATTCTAGTGAACTCATCCGGAGTTGCAACACACATTTAAGTTTTAGCATTACCATTTGCTCCCTCGTTTTCAAATTCGTTATATTCAGAATTGTATCATTGTATCTACACTTTTAGCCAGACTCACCTAAGTTCCTAACCAGTCTCAACTTCATTCCATAACTTTTTATCAATAGACTTGATGAAGACTCTCATTCGAGCCTTTCGATAGTTATAGTTTGTTCCGTCAAGCATGATGGGTCTAGTTATGGGTCCACCTTCCTTTAGTGCATCCATGATCACTACATCAATCTGCTATTATATCAATTGAGTGAAGGACTGACATCTAGGCTTTGAACATCAGAATACGCTATACTACAAACTAGATCTAGAAGGGGGATTTAGGTCTTAAAAATTCTTGTAATTTGAGAGAGAGCTCAAAAGGGAAGCGTTTCCTGAAACAACTGCACAAAGGCCAAAAGGAACACTATACTGTTAGACCATCCACAAAATCAATTAAATCCCTCATAAATTTACAATTTTTATGTGGACCCAAGAAAAATATGGATTTTCAACACCCAAATAGGAGCCTCCACTTCGTCGAAGCATCTCCTATTCCTCTCCCCCATAACACCCACCATAAGCAGTCCTCCAAGCCTCTTGAGTATGAGGCCCCACTAAGAAACCTCACCATCCTTTAAGATGCTCGTTGTAGATCCCAACACAACCCAATGGAAGCCAAAAATTGATAGGAGCATGTCCCACTCGTCCCTAGTCACAAGACAATGCAAGAGGCGGTAATTAACCGGCTCTTGCACATGCTACACCTCGTCACTCTTGCACATGCTACACTGGTTGACCATATTTGTCTCCATCGCCTTAGATTATCAATCGTCAAAATCTTCCCCAAGGCTGTTGTCCACCTAAAGAAAGCCACCCTAGGAGGAACTTTGGTGAGCCAAGTTGCCTTCCAAGGAAAAGACTCCCTACGAGGGACTAGCATCCTCCGATAAAAGGTGTGTGCCTCGAACCTCCCGTGACTAGAGCCCAACCATATCCACTCGTCCATCTCCTCAACGGCCAAAATCTGACGATAGAGCAAGGCCAATAAATCACCAACATTCTCCACCTCACAGTCCTAGAATTGTCTGACAAAATGCACCCAAGTCAACCTCCCGCCATATGCAGCCCTCCAAGCCTCTCGAGTACATGGCCCCACTAAGAAACCTCACCACCCTTTAAGATGCTCTTTGTAGATCCCAGCACAACCCAATGGAAGCAAAAAATGGATAGGAGCATGTCCCACTCATCCCTAGCCACACGACAATGCAATAGGCGGTAATTAACCGAATCTTGCACGTGCTACACCTCGTCACTCTTGCACATGCTACACCGGTTGACCATATTTGTCTCCATTGCCTTAGATTATCAATCGTCAAAATCTTCCCCAAGGCTGTTGTCCACCCAAAGAAAGCCACCATAGGAGGAACTTTGGTGAGCCAAGTTGCTTTCTAAGGACTACGAGGGACTAATATCGTCCGATAAAAGGTGTGTACCTCGAACCTCCCGTGAATAGAGCCCGGCCATATCCACTTGTCCATCTCCTCAACGGCTGCAATCTGACGATAGAGCAAGGCCAATAAATCATCAACATCCTCCACCTCCCAGTCCTAGAATTGTCTGACAAAATGCACCCAAGTCAACCTCCTGCTACGAGCCGATAACAGTCGGCAATCAGAATCTGAGAATCAACGGCAATCCTAAATAGTCTTGGGAGGACACTCGCCAACGACCTGTACCTGCACCAAATATCCAACCCGAATCAAATCAGCCTCCCACTCTTCAGCTTGAATTGAATGTGTTTTGAAAATCCTTCCCACCCTCTTCGGATGAACTTCCAAATACCATCACTACCTGAGTCCTCACCTCCAAAGAGCCCCAACCACTCCTAGATTTCCAAATTTGCACAAAATAACCCTCTGCCACAGTCTGTCCCTCTTTGCCCCGAACATCCAAAGCTATTTGCCTAACAACACTTTGTCAAACACATCCACCCTCCTAATGCCCAGGTCCACAAGCTAAATAGGCATACAAACCTGTTCTCAGCAGATGGAACTTAAATTCCTTTCCCATGCCTCCCCATAGAAAATTCCATTGAAGCTTCTTAATCCTCTTTAGCACCGAAGAGGACATATAAAAAGGGACATGAAGTATGTTAGTAGACTCGAAAGAATGCTTCTCAAGAGAGTTAGCCTCCCTCTCTTCGAGAGATCTTCTTCCAACCCACCAACCTCCTTCCAAAATGCTCCACGACATGATCCCAAGATGAGACTCTTCTAAACGGCACCACCCCAACAACCCCCCCAACCCAACCCAAACCAACCCAACCCAACCGAAGGATAGACCCAGGTAGGAAACTGGAAAAGACCCTATGAAGAAAAAAATTACTACTGTGGGTCTCAGCTTCAGTTGATCAATTAATCCGCTGGTTACACGAACTTCTTCTTCTGCCTTGATTGTTCTCCTTCAGCTAGTTGTCAAACCATATATATTTAGCATGTGTAAATTTGTAGTGCTGATCTCCTTTGAAGCTCTTCAATATATTTGAATCAACAATCCAGTAACTTACTTGCCGCCATCTATATGGAATAATGATGATGAAAGAAACAAAATTGCCCTAGATTGTATATATTCGCTCAATATGCTTGGAATGCTTAAGACATTTTTTAGGCTATGTTTGGGTGCATGCTTTGAACTAAACTATTCTCCAATTACACCAATTCTAATTCCAAGGCTCCAATTCCATGCAGCCGAACATAGCCTTAGTCTAATTCATCTCAAGGGGTTAACTAGCCCAAATACATCAGATATAAGACAACCTCGAAGGCCTCCAGAACCTTCCCTTTTGAAAGTTCATAATTAACCAAGTGGATGTTTTGCTTTATGCTTCGTTCGGTAGGAAAGAAAAACTTTGGTGGATGGAAGGGAGAGAAGAAGGGATGGATGAGACATCCCTAGAGAAGAGATTATGTACTTCCTTCTTTTTGTTCGGTTTGATGTAATAGAAGTGAATAAAGTCACAATTTATTGTGTTTGTTAGAAGAGAAGGAAAGTTAGTTTTTAATTATTTTTACCATTACACCCATCATTATCTATAATATTGTAATTTATAGAGTATAGTATTGTAATTTAAAATTGTATAATTTAGGATAGTATTGTAATTCAAAACTTCCATAATAGCACCACTTTTCTTCCCTCGTCTTCCGCCCATATTTGGAGGGATGAAAATTTGTAAAGGAGGAAGGATGACTCATCCCTACTGTTATCCTTTCTCTCATTATCTCCTCTCTACCGAATAAAGGAAGTTTGATCTTTCATTCTTTCCTTCCTATTTTCCATCCTCTTCCTTCCTTCCTTCCCACCGAACATAACATTAAGCATATATCTTGTAGACATATATATATAAAATGTCTTTGCGTGTCTATATATTAGAGAGGAAGTACTACAACTGTTAAGTTGTTACGGACTGCAAATTATCATTTACATTGGATAATTTTCTTTCTCTCATCCGAGAGACATATGGGATATAAATCAACTCAGATTCAGCAAAGGCACGCACAGGGTATAAACTGTGTGTTATAATCCCATATGTTACTTTAAATATATATATATTTTTTTTCCCTGAAAATTTAATTTATGGGATTATAAACATCATGAATACCATATTATAGAAAGCTTTCTTAGGAATATTTAACAGAACATGTAAAAAGCCAGGTCGCCTATATGCAGTTTTCAACTTTTCACACCAAAAGTTCACATCTGCAGACTCATCTCTTGTGCCTATATGTATGAACAAGGGGTAATATATATATTTTTGATAACTATAGTTTCATTAAAGGCCCTCAAGAGGGGAGCGCTCCCAAGAGAGAATACAAAAAACCAACTATAACATCAAGCTATCAACAAAGGGTTATTAAATTCTTGGGAGTAAAACAGCTTTTTTTTTTTCAATAACCTAAACATGTTTTTTTCCCTTTTCAAATCATTCCCTTTCTGAGATAGTTTCTTTTCAAAAATTTTCCATTCCCGGATAAAATTCCTTTCTTTTCCTAACTTTCCATTTTTCAAAATGTTTTATTCTTATAAGACGCCAAATGTATAGTTTTCCCTGTCTTCTCACAGTCCATATAAGCCTTGTTTGTCTACCAATATTATTTTATGATCATTTATTTATTTATTCTTTTAGTTATTTACTTTATCAATCTTAAAGAAATGAATTTTAAATTATTATTTTTCTGTGTGTATCAATGCATGCATGTATGTTGAAAATTAATCAGTGTCCTGCTGAAACAATATCTAAAATAATATAATTCAATCTTGAAAATTATTAATCCAGGTACAGGTTGTTTCAGAACTCCTAGCAAGAAAATCATATCTAATTTCCGTCAAGACCACAACCCATATTGTGCTTAGAACCGTAACATCAAAAACCATAAGTTTATCTCACTGGGTCTTCTAAACCAAAAACCCAAGCCAAGGACCTTTTTCCCCCTTTTCCCTGCTCTGATTTTTCTTTGTAATCAAAAGTGAAGTGGAGAACTTTGAGAGAGGGGAGCATATTGTCATTTAAATATTGAGCAGTTACTTATCAAAAAAAAAAAAAAAATATTGAGCAGTTCATGGATTGATTGACCTTGCAATTCAATCTCTCTCTTTTTCTCTCTCTCACACGCACAACACACATACACTTTTGATAATGTATTATATTCACTCTCTTTTTCTTTCTTCCTCCCTTTCCTTTTCCTTTTACTCTTTTGGGGAAAGGGGTGTGAAATTTCAAGCTTTCATAACAACTTAAATAATCCTAACTAGAACTAGATATCGAAGCTTGCTTTTAGATTAGTTGGATTCATAACAATGCCAAGCGGAACTTAAGCATATTTGATTTTCCGTGACTTAAAGGATAGTAATAATAATAATTAATAATAATAATTGCAATTTATTTATTTATTTTTCTTTAAATTGTGAATCAACAATTTATTAATCTTTTTGTAGTGTTTGTTAAGTGCAGACATTTTTTTTGAAGAAATTAAATGTTCTTTAAATTCTCTCTCTTACAATAAAATGACGCTTAGTAAAAAATTTGTGTTAAATTTATTATGCTGATCCTAAGAGGGCTGGTAAAACCTGTGCTGAGATCAGACACTTTGCCTTTTGCTCTGCAATGTGATTTTTGTTAAACTGTTGATCCTGGAACTGATCATCCCATGTATATTCTTTTGAAGCTTTAAATAATATTGTGCTATATCATTTTTGATAATGTTGTAATCGTTTTATTGGGTTTATAGCTTTTATTTGCATTGAAGAAATATACATGATAATTATTATTATTTTATATGGTGTAAAATGCAGTCGCAATTATTTTTACTTGTTATTTGGGAGAAGTGGAGAATAAACTTCTTGTTGGATTAGGAGAGCTCTATTACTCATGCAATGCTTGGTTATGACTCTGTCTTTAACATTCATTAAAGTTTTGTGTTACATAGGATATCTTTATAACATTACAGTTATGAAGTTAACAATGTGATAAATTAAATTCTCATCAGGTTTTGTAGTAAGATAATAATGATAATAATAGTCTCAGCAGTCTCCCAATCATCATTTATGAGGAAGCTTGAGTTTATCTGTACTCAAAACTTGGATGAAGATTGCGGACTTGTTCAAATTTGAAATGTTACATCACATGATTCTGATTTACATATTTCAGGAAACTTGATTGAGATCACTTATGTACTGATTTTCGGTTCTTGAGTGCTCGAGAGTTTTTAATTATGGTTCATATAGAAAGATGTTTGTTGCAATGATGCCATAACAGACCTACTTTTACTCTGGGTATTTGTAGGTGACTGCATCCAAGTTATGGCGCCAAGTAGGAGAGTCATTCCACCCCCCCAAGTAAGAATAGCATGATGGTTCATTTTTTTAACTTCATGGTTGTTTCCAGCCAATTCGTGCAATCTTCTATTGTTCTGATGTATCATCATTACCTTTATTGAATTTGCCTTTGATATATGAAGTATAGATTTTTTTATCTGTTTCTGTTCTTTGGACTTTTTTGCTGTTAAGCTGTATTAAGTTGACATTTAATCAAGCTTTATTACAATATATAAAGCTGGGAATTATACTTATTTTATCAAGATTCTCTTTACTGTCTAAGTCATTTATGTGGTCGTTTGATTCAAAACTGAGTATATTGCTCACTTGGATGTCTTTATAAGTTGGTTTCATTCGATCCAATGAATTTTCTCTTTCAGGACCTGCACGACAGTGTCTTGGACATTCCGCATATTCTATGAGAAGGTAACATTTATTTTGCCGGAATGTTCCCCACCCTGCCCCAGTATTCAAGCATTTTCATGTGTTTTTCATCCGTTAGACAACCAATAGTTGGTAAAAATATATAATTCTGTTATCCTAATATGAGTTTTAAGCTATTAGGCATCTTAGTTGCTTAAAGTTCAAATGGTGTCCACAACCACCTTTTATTTATTTATTTTTAAATCCTCCTGATTTTACCTTTATGAATCATGTATTTTTTAAAATGTTGCTTCTTCTATAATTTATTTCAAAATAAAATCATTTTTGTTTTACTGGTGTATACATCTTTGGAGAGGCCTGGTGGAGAACTTAAGTGGAACAGGCAACATTTGCACTGGAGTTCCTTTTTTAGGATACCCATTTGGGTCATTTACAGAGATCTCAACTAAGGTGACATTGCAAATATTTCCGCTTTTTTAAAAATTACAAAACCATCCCTTCTAGTATGGTTGTCCATACAGATTTCCCTTTCATTGATCCACAATGACTATTTGATGATGCTAGCTTATAAATATATTACCCTTCTTGAAGTGTAACAATAAATACAAGGTCAAATGTAACCTAAATTTAAAATCAAATTCTCAATATCTACTCACCAATTTGCCCATCACTGTTCGCCGTCTTTTCTCGATTAACTGCAGCTTCCACCTACCAAGAAGACGATTACACTATCAGTAAGAAGCTTTCATCATTTTTCTCTGTCTAACATCCCATGTTTTTTTAATCATATCCTCCCTTACATTTCAACTCTCTCTCCGAAACTCTGTTACGTGGGCTCTCTTAGTGGTCTTCATGTGCTCGTGTTAACATGTGTTCAAACACATGAACCCAAATCAGAAACCAGTTCCTTCACATGGCATGATTGAGGAAGAAAAATCTTCAAATTTGGGAGTAGAGAAGAATTTCCTATTTAAGAAAAAAAATGATTTTTTTTTTTTTTTATGTCACATTTAATTCTTTTTTTGATAAGTATATATGTATTAGAAGGCATTTAAATGGGGAATTCATCCCGAATCTACACAAAGGCAAAACCCAACGTAAAGGTCCTACGGATCCAAGGAACCAAAAAAATCAACCAACTCCTCTATATATTTTCAATTTCTCCCCATCGCCCAATAAAAAAGAGAACAAATGATAAGATATTTCAAAGCCCCAATGGAAGATTCCTTCCCCTCAAAAGATCTACTATTCCGCTCCTTCCAAACGCACCACCAAACCCCAAAGGGTGCCACCCTACAAAAATATGAGCATGGGCTCCCACAAAACATTGTCTCCAAGAACAAATCAGCACCTAAGAAGTTGGGAAAGGCAAAGGAACAAGGAACGGACCTCGAATCTCCCGAGGCGAGGGCATCCAAATAAGGGAGTCTGAGCCTCTACCACCCAACTCCTGTCTATCTAAGATATCCAGAAAGCTAGAAACATCGTCCAATTCCCAGCCCCGAAAGTGTCGCAGAAATTGCACATCCCTAGAAATCCTTCCGCTATCAAGCCGATAACAGTCGGCAACCAAGGCATGTCTATTAGTGGCAATCCTGAAAACCCTAGGAAAAGAAAAGTCCAACGGACGATCCCCACACCATAAATCCTCCCAAAATTGAATGTCCCTACCGTCCCGAGCTTTGAATCTGAATTTGATGTGTTCAGAAAATTCATCCCAACCCTTCCGAATGAAGTTCCAAACACCAACACCTCTAGCTGATCTAACTGCACGAGAGGACCAACCACCTCTCTCCTCCCCAAAGCGGCAATAAATAACCCTCCAACATAAACGATCTTGCTCGCCTCCGAATCTCCACAACCACTTCCCTAGGAGAGCCCTATTAAAAGGGATCAACCTCCTAATGCCTAAGCTGCCCAAATGAAGAGGTCTACACATTTGCTCCCATCGTACAAGATGAAACTTAAACTCCTCCACCAAACCACCCCAAAGGAAATTCCGCTGAAGTCTTTCAATCCTTCCAACCACGGAGGATGGGATCTGAAAGAGAGAACGGAAGTACGTAAGGAGACTCGACAACGTGCTCTTTGTTGACTTTAAGAGCTAATCAAATCAAGAATAAAGTATAAGAAGAAGAAGAAGAAGAAAAAGAGAAGAAAGAGGATGAGAGAAAAAGAGAGAGAGATGGGGAAAGAGAGAAATTACACATAAGCCCCAACATTATATAAGTAATAACAAATAAGCCCCTGACAACACTCCCCCCCAGGCTGGTGCAAAGATATTTGTCGTGCCCGGCTTGACTAACATATTTTGCAAGCAAGTCTTGCTCACACCCTTAGTCAACCTGATCATGTGTGTTGATGCATGGAGTACAAATTTGCCCAAGATGAAGCTTTTCCTTGATGAAGTGTCGATCGACTTTAATGTGCTTTGTCGTGTCATGTTGAATTGGATTGTGGGTAATGCTAATAGCAGCCTTGTTGTCACAATACAACTTCATTGACTTGCGAACATGATAACCCAGCTCACCTAACATTGTTCGAAGCCATAACAACTCACAAACTTCATGTGCCATGGATCTGAACTCAGCCTCTGCACTAGCTTTAGCTATTACAGACTGTTTCTTGCTTCGCCATGAAACAAGATTACCTTTAACAAATGTGCAATATCCTGAAGTAGATCGCCGATTTGTCACAGACCTTGCCCAATCAACATCAGTATAGGCTTCAACACACAAGTGGCCATGGCGGCCAAACAATATCCCATTACCAGGTGAACCCTTGAGGTAGCGAAGAACATGATGAGCTGCCTCTAGGTGAGGTGTATGTGGAGGCACAAACTGATTAATCACACTAACAATGTAGGCAATATTCAGGCGCGTGAGAGATAGGTAAATCAGTCTCCCAACCAATCGCTGAAATCTTCCCACATCATCTAATGGGTCTCCATCTAAATCATTAAGCCTATGGTTATGGTCAATGGGAATATCAATAGGTTTAGCTCCAAGCCTGCCTGTTTTAGCCAACAAATCTAACATATACTTCCGTTGAGAAATGAACACCTCTTTCTTCGATTTGCACACCTCGATGCCAAGAAAGTATCTCAATGATCCAAGGTCTTTAACCTCGAACTCTGTCCCCAAGAATTACTTTCATTCGATGAATCTCTTCTGGACCATTTCCAGTGATAACAATATCATTAACATATAAAATAAGGGCAGTGGTGCACCCCTGGTGCTTCTTAATGAAGAGAGTATGATCTACCTGACTTTGTGTGTACGCTTCTTTTTTTACAGGAGTGTTGAACCTCTTAAACCAAGCACGTAGCGATTGCTTTAACCCATACAAGGCTTTATTTAGCTTGCACACTAAATTCTGACCATTGGCAAGCTTAAACTGTGGTGGCATAGTCATATACACCTCTTCCTTTAAGTCACCATGAAGGAAAACATTCTTTACATGCAGCTGATGTAAAGGCCAATTCAAATTAGCTACCAAAGAAAGGACACGTATAGAGTTCACCTTGGCAATTGGAGCAAATGTTTCCGGATAATTAATCCCATTGGTCTGAGGAAGCCCTTTGCAACTAATCGGGCTTTATATCTCTCAATTTTTCCATTTGCATGATACTTTATTGTGTAGACCCATTTGCAGCCTAACAATATCCCAAGTACCATTCTTCTCAAGAGCCTTCATCTCTTCAAGCATGGCTTCCTTCCATGGAGTTTGACTTAGAGCATCTAAAACATTAGAAGGTTCAAATACAGAGGAGATACATGAAGTGAAAGCACGATATGTTGGAGATAAGGCATCATATGATACAAATTGAGATATGAGATGTTTTGTACAACTACGAACACCTTTACTATAGGCAATAGGGACATCAAGATCAACAAGAATGCTATTGGGAAAAGAATCAGGAGTATCATTGTCAACTGAGAAATTACCTGGATCGAGGGAGACTTCTTAGTCCTGGGGTGAGTCATTGACTTGTTTTGTCCTCCTAGTGTAAACAATTGGTTGTTTTCCCTGCTATAAATCATTAGTGTTAAGGAGGACTAGACAGAGGCACCTCAGTAAGAAGCTCCCCTTGAATGGGAACCTCGGGAACAGGCAAAGGAAGGAGGCGTTCCATCTGAATGGGCAACGGATTCTTTACCTGTATAGTAGTCTCCCCTTGTAGAGAATCCCGAGCAGTGAAAAAAAAAGGAACAGACCCAAAGAATGTTACATCCATGGAGACAAAGCGACGACAAGTGGTAGGGTTATAACACCGATACCCTTTTTGAGTGGCGGAGCATCCAAGAAAGACACATCGGATTGCCTTAGGTTCCATTTTGTCCTTGCGATGATAAATGTGAACATAACAAACGCAACCAAACACTTTCGAAGGGACAGTAAACAAGGCAGTGTGATGGTGTAAGACAGAGAAGGGCGATTGATAGCCAAGAATCTTAGAAGGCATGCGATTAATAGCCAAGAACCTTAGAAGGCATGCGATTGATAAGGTATGTAGTTGCTAAGGTTGCATCAGCCTAATAACTTTTAGGCACTCCCATCCCAATTAGAAGAGAACGGGTCACCTCCGTAATATGACATTGCTTTTTTTCAGCTACACTGCTCTGTTGTGGTGTATCGACACAGGAGGTCTGATGGACAATCCCGTTATTAGCAAAAAGGAGGCAAGACCACCATACATAAACTCTCCTCCATTATCAGATCAAAGGATTTTGAGGGGACAACCAAATTGAGTACATATCATCTTATAAAAGGTTTTAAAAATGGAATGAACTTCATCTTTGGTTTTCATAAGATAAAGCCAAGTATATTGACTAAAGTCATCAACAAACACAACAGAGTAACGAAAGCCATGTAACGAAGTAGTAGATTCAGAACCCCACACATTAGAATGAACAAGCTGCAATGGAGCTGTACTTTTATTAATACTAGTAGGATAAGAAACATGACATTGTTTGGCAAGAACGCACAATTTAACTCAAAAGATTCAACAGAAGCAAACTGGGGAAGCACATGCTTCAAAGTAGGAAGAGGTAAATCACTTAGTCTATTATGTCATCGCATTAACAGATCTTTATTGATCTTACTATTCCTAACACTAGATTGATTTGCAACATAATAAGAAGTTGGCCTCGCGTTCAACAAATACAAGCCATTGTTACTTATCAAAAAAAAAAAAAAAAAAAACAAATACAAGTCATTGTCCTCACGTCCACTTCCATTCGTCTTCCCAGCGTCCAAGTCTTGAAACACAGGGAGATGGAAAAAAGGTTACACTATAATTCAAGTCTTTTGTAATGTGACTAACAAAAAGGAGGTTATTGGTAATCTTTAGGACATGAAGAACAGAGGATAAGGTAAGATTAGGAAAGGCAGAAACAGTGTTCTTCCCCGCAATGGAGGTAAAGGTGCCATCAGCCACTCTAACCTTGTCCTTACCAGAACATAAACTGTACGAAAAAAAAATCAGATGCCATACTAGTCATGTGATCAGTGGCTCCTGAATCAATGATCCAGGCTAGCCCACCAGATAATGTGGAAACTTGATGTGGCGAATGAGAGGTACATGTCTTAGCAAAGTTAGAGGTGGAAATGGATGCATTTTGAGCTAGTAGATGTTGAAGAGCATCAAGTTCAGCCCGGGACAAAGAACTCCACGGCCTTGAGAATGCTCATTCCATCAAAAAGTTGGAATTGGCCATTCCTCTTCTTGACCAAAGGAATGGCCTTTCCATTTCCAACAAAAATTAAAATAAAATATAAGTAAAACAGAAAAAGCAAAAAAAAAAAAAAACCTCTAACCTAAAAACTTCTCTCACACATTACTCACGAAACCTCTGAGACAACCTGCTACCGCTTCCCTCAGTCGTCTTCCTCAGCCATCTTCCTCCACCGTCTCTCTTTTCCAATAAATGGCAGACACTCCTAAAGAACTTTCCTCTGCCTCCACTTCTCCCCTCACAGTTCCATACTTTCCTCTCTCTCCTCCTTCCTCTCTCACCACCCATAGATGTCTTCCTTCTCTCTCACCATTGCCGGTGGGCAGCGGTGGCGGCGGAGGGCTGTGATGCCTATGCTTCATTCAATCTCACTGTTGTTTTCACCGACAAAGAATTGAATTCGGATGAATTCGATTCTGCTGAAGAACATATCGATGAAATGATCAGAGAAAAAAATTCCAACTTTTTGAGATTTATAGAATAATTAAGGTATGTAGTATTCACAGTCGAAGCAACAGTGGAGAGGAGGTTTGGTATCTCTATCGACTTTCGCCTTCTCAAACACTGCCAGTCAGATAAGGCGGTGGTAGATCTGCGATTTGGGGATGGAAATTCAAATAGTAAGCACCATAGAGATAGATGCATAAATGTTCATTAGAGATATCAAGCAGATTGATAAAACTCAAAGATGATAGATGCATAAATGTTCATTAGAGATATCAAGCAAATTGATAAAACTCAAAGATGTCACTGATGTTGGTGGATTCATACTACAAATTGAACTGTTAAGCAATTCTTATTCTTACTTATTTTTAGTTTTTTTGAATTTTGAATTTTGATAGGAATATTTTGAAAAAAAATTCATTCCATTCTAGTTTTAGGAAGGTCCAGCCAAACATTAGAATGGAAATAAGCATTCCATTCCTTATCATTTCACGTTTGAAATGAACAATGGAATGAGAATGACCATTCCATTCCTTTTCCATTCTTATTCCATTCCCACTTAAATTCTCATTCCATTCCATTTTATTCCTGCACACCAAACTAGCCCTAATCCTCTTTGCTGCTTTGTTTCGTTCTCTTTCTTAACCCTGTTTTTATTATTCTTTCTTTTTCCCAGCAAAACACAATTATTATTATTTTTCATTATTAGGTTGATAAAAATAATATTACTCTTAATTTCTTAAAGTACAACATCATATATATATATATAAATATTTATTATTGACGGTATCGTCACCGTGTCCGTGTCCTAATATTTTAGGATTTTCCGTGTCGCCGTATCCATGTTGTGTCGTATCCATGTTCCGTATCTGTTTCCATGCTTCTTAGCATTAAACATTCATCTTCATCTTGCCTCATTCCCATATGAGTGATGTCAATCATAAGTATTCTCTTTTTCTATTCTTCTCTATTACAAGCAATGGCCCGCCCCTATTATATTTAACTTCTTAAAATCATTTCTAACAACTTTATCCCACATTAATTTTGGACTTAGAAGCACAGATACGGATATGTGTCAACACGACATCGACATGGACATGGACATGATTACACAACTCCTCCTAAATAATTAAGACATGGACACTGCAGGGACACAACGAGTAATAAATATATGTTTTTTCAGAAATGGGATATTATATTGTAAGACTAATATTACTTTTCATCAAACTAAGAATGAAAAAATTCATACCACAATAACTAATGACCTAGAACAACAATTCTTATTTAAGAAGAGAAAAACGAGAAGAGAATGGGCTCAACTCTCAAGTATATTTCCTTAACTCCCTTTATAGAATTTGTTGTAATAAAAATCCCTAACTTATCAAAATACTACAGTGAAATAAAGAATGAAAGAGACTTATCAAAAAAAAAAATAAAGAATGAAAAAGAGAGAGAGAGGGAGAGAGAATTGGTTAAAGTGGAAGGTTTTTGTTGGAAAAAGGGAAAGAGAATTCTACTAGGAGAGAGAGAATGTGCTAAAGAAAAAATAAAGAATAGCTCTTTGTTGATAATGAAGGAGAAAACCTCTAGAGGGAGAAAGAGGTCTGTGAAGAGGACAAAAAGAAAAATATTAGAGAAAGAGGAATTATTGAAAGTGAAGAAAAGGTTTGCTGGCGGTCAAACTTCATTGTTGCGTTGTAATAAAGTGGAAACTTGATTGTGAAAAAAGATTTTTTGTATAATTTTTTTATTATTTTTTATTTTAATTTTGATACGTAAGATTTCATTAGAAAAGTGCTCAAAAGGGGAGAACAGCCCAAATACAAGAGGTGTCACTAGGACTGAACACGCCCCACTATACTATCAACATTTCCGCAAAATCTGTCATATCGTGTATCAATTTACAATTCCAACTTTGTCTCTAATAAAAAAAAAAAAAAAAAAAAAAGGATATTTGAATACTTCTCAGAGACCCTGGTTTCTCTCCCTCCTTAAGCCCCACCAAATACAAACGTGGGTGCACCCTCCAAGCATCTCGGGCTTGCCTCCTCACTATGCAACTTTTCTAAGCATCGAGCATACTTCTTGGAGACTTCAGCATGACCTAATGAATGCCAAGGTGGCGAAGATCATGGCCAGCTATCCCTAGCCATTCACCAATTTTTCACCTCCCTTGCACATACAAAACCAGTTGACGACAATCTGCTCCTCCTCAGATTGTCAATCGTCAATATCCTCCCCAAGACCACTATCCATTAGAAGAAAACCACTTTAGAGGTGCCTTGGTGTGCCACACTACCTTCCAGGGCAATGAAAGCCCTCGAGCATTCACCAGCCTCTAATAGAATGAGCGCACAGTAAACATCCCATATCTGGAACCCATCCACCGCCACTCATCAATTCCCATACCACCCACCTCTTGACGGAATAGCGACCCCAGGAATTCACAAACATCCTCGAACTCGAAATCCTGGAAGGGTCTCCCAAACCGCACATCCCAAGACAATGTCACACTATTTAGGCAATAACAGTTGGCAACAAATAGGTCCAATACATTCTTGTCCACCACAATTTGAAAAAGACTTGGAAAGGTAGCTGCCAACAGTTGATCCCCACACCAAACATCCAACCAGAAGCCCACACTACCACTCCTCACCCTAAACCGAATGTGTCTCAAAAATTCATCCCACCCACTTCTGGATGAATTTCCATAGCAGTGTAGGAATGTTATGTCCAACAGAGGGCTTCCCTTGATTGGCCCATACACCATCCATCTTGTTCAAAGCACGTTAGTGCACCACTGATGCAGTAATTTGCTACAGTGCTACTCTTTTACAAGATGGCTAGCACTAAATTACACTTAAAATTCTTTTTAGTGACTAGTCATGGGATAGACAACATATGAATGCTTGGCATTTATGTCATGTGTAAGGAGTGAGCAGTATCACGTGCTATGTCTATTACTTGCAACCTCATTTTTATCTTGACGTAACTTTGTTTAGCTATTTGTATAATTTTTTCTAGTGATTGCTCTGGATTTTTTATAATTTATGCTATTGATTTGATCATATTGATTCAATCTTTGTAACTAGTTTCCAATAATTTCCAAGGTATATCATGTTCTGAGTGTTTCAAATTTTGCAGGCACTTTTGGAATATGAAAGGCATAAGAGCCAAAGTGGTGAGCTTCAACTTGCTGTTGCTGTCATCCCCGAGCCTTCAAGTGTTGAAAATGAGGTAAACTATCATCTGAATGTATTTGGATCTAATGGTTGGATGCATATTTAATGGTATGCTTGTATTCTCTTCATGCATGGTAAGTGATTTAGACAGACTTGGGACCAACAAAAAATGTCTAGTGTCTTGGATTTGTTTGAAAGTATAGATGGTTTGTTAGGAACGAGAGGACTTAGTATTTTAGAATTATATGTACTTATGGTGGTTAACCTGGAATCAGATTTGGCAGGTATGTGGGGTTCAATTAGGGACTCTAGCTTTCTTGGTAGAAGATATACGTGGTTGGTGGTGATATCATGTTCGGAGCTGCTGATAAGTAGTGGTTAGGTATTAGAATAGAGGCTATATATATTCCAATATAAACCTGAACCTAACAAAAATCTTACTAGTTATTGGCGAGGAAGTAAAGGAGCTCAACCATGTGGCTAAGGTGCAGGATTAAATGGAATGTCTGCAATAAATTATCAACTAATGATTTAATTCCCCGTCATTGCATCTTTCCTCTACTAAGAAAGAGAGGATCAACACCAATTCTAGAGCACATTAATGCATCACATGCAATACTAGCACACCTCAGATTCCGGAACCCAAGGTGTGATGAGAGGGGTTAAGGGATTTTAAGGAAAAATAAGGTGATATAATTTCCTAAAATTAAGCATATCATTCCAATAGGTTCATATTTCAAAATCATAATTCCACATTTTCCAGTAAGGTCAAATTCATGAAAAATATAGCGTTAAGAGAGACCCAAATTACTTTTCTTTAAATCCTGCTTATATTGAAAATTCTTGAACGCACATTTTTCCTTGAGAAGAATCATTAGGTGCATATTTCGGCAACATGCCATCATAGAATTTTGAACTTTCGGAAGAAATAGGGAACCTGTTTCAAATATCCTGTAATTCCATAATCCACATGTCTAAGACACCTTTTTGTTTTTTTCGATTAGTGTCTAAGACACTTAATTAACAATGTCTCCTTAGACCATAAACAGTGTCTCTACAAAACTACCTCACTTCTTCACCTTAGCCCTTAATTTTACTACCTCACTGAAGGTGGCATTCTTCTCGTGGACTGTTGCTTTGGGAAGCATCCTTACTATTGATAACCGTAGAAAAATAAGTCATATTGTGGTTAACAGGTTTTATATGTGCAAGAAGATGGGGGAATCAGTTAACCATCTTCTTATTCATTGCTGAGTGTCTAGGGATGTTTGGGCTATGTTTTTGGTTGTGTTTGGTCTTCCACGGGTGTTCTCAGAATCCACGGTTGACTTGTTAGAGACTTGGAAAGGGTGTACAGTGGAGAGCTGAGTCAGAGCTGCTTGGAGGACCACTCCCCTTTGTATTTGGTGGGGTTTGTGGCCCGAAAGAAATAGGAGATACTTTGAAGGAGAGGAGTCTCCCATTTGGGCTATTAAATACAATATTCTTACTTTATTCTTTTGGGTAAATGGGTGGGATTGTAATTCAATGGATTGTCTTTTGGATTTTGTGGATAGCTTAAAGCTATAGTGTCGATTTTGGTCGGCTTTTGTCTTTTTTGGGAACGCTCCCCTTTTGAGCATCTTTGATAAAAATCTTGTCAAAAAAAAAAAAAAAAAACCGTAAAGTATAAAACATATGTGAAGAGAAATTAAACGAGAAAAATACAAAGATATTACGTGGTTCAGCCACTAGGGCCTACATCCATGGCACAAAGAGCCTAAAGGGCTACATCACTTTTATTATAATCTCTCAACTCATACACAATACAATGGTGGAGGCTCCTCTATATAGGAGAAGAAATTATGAGAATGGAAAGAAATAGAAAATAGGAAACAAGTAGGATTTTTCTCCACTATTTCTCTAATAACAACAAATTTTCAATAATGGGAAACTACATCAATTACTCGAGGATTTTCCTCTACTGATTTCTTCATTAAATCTTCAATACTCTTCCTCAAGTTGGAGCATGAATGCCCAACTTGCCATTGAGATGACGAGTAGCAACAAGTGCGAATGATGAAGAGAAATGAGAGAAGACGAACAACAATGCTACTGAGCACACCAGCATCCCAAACAAGTCAATACAAACTGCTGGAGACACGGCGAAGGTGAAGAAAAGTGCTACCGAACACATTGGCAGCCCAAGCAAGTCACAAATAGCACCGAAAAACCCTTAGCAATATTTCAGATGCTAAGGGAATATCCCAAAATAGGGGTCCAAACCTAGGAAGAAAAATTAGGCTCTGATACCATGTTGGAAAGTATAAAACATATGTGAAGAGAAATTAAACGAGAAAAATACAAAGATATTTTGTGGTTCAGCCACTAGGGCCTACATCCACGGCACAAAGAGCCTAAAGGGCTACATCACTTTTATTATAATCTCTCAACTCATACACAATACAATGGTGGAGGCTCCTCTATATAGGAGAAGGAATTATGAGAACGGAAAGAAATAGAAAATAGGAAACAAGGAGGATTTTTCTCCACTGTTCCTCTAATAACAACAAATCTTCAATAATGGGAAACTACATCAATTACTCGAGGATTTTCCTTCACTGATTCCTCCATTAAATCTTCAATAGTAACAATATTATAATTCTTAAAAAGGGGAAAACCCGTGCACGAGGCTCCCGCCATTGCTACGCAGCCGTTCCTCTATATGCGGAGAGGCTGTTTTCGTGTTTCAAACCTGTGACCTCTAGGTCACAATGCAACAAATTTACCATTTACCATTGCGCTGAGGCTCACCCTAACTCTAAATTTTATATCACTAATATGCAAGACAAATGCAGATAGAGAACAACATGAATTTAAAATTAGTGGCAATAATTTAAACCAAAAAATGTAACTCAAAGTAATATTTGAACAAACTTATGATTCAAATCTTTAGGACCCTTTCTCAGAGTCTTCTATTAATCTGTAATAGATAAAGCTTTTAGGGACTCACACCTAGAGGCTGTACCCCCTATTAATGCATCAACCTTTTAGGGACTCTCACCCATGGGTAGCGATGGCAACGGGGCGGGAATGGGAACGGGATCCCCGATCCCGTTTAATTTTGTTACCCTCATGACCGCCCCCCCATAACCAATTAAAATATCACCCCTCCACCCTCATCCGCCCGACCCGCCTGTTTAAATCTCATATTCACCCATTTTTTGAATCTCAACATTCCAGCCCCAGCCACAACCTTTAGAGTTCAGTCCAAAAAATAAAATGGATGATGTATCAGATAAACAACTATTACACAAAGACATTCGAATCTATAATTTATGAGAGAGAAGTACCTTTCAGAAGGTCTTTGTTGCCTTTGTATTGTTCACATGAGGAGTCCAATTTCCTTCACCGACAACCGATCTCTCAATGACGACGTTGACGAGGTGAAGAAGTGAGGTAGTTTGGTAGATTGCAGCACAGTCGCAGATGATGAGTGACTAGTGAGGTAGTAAAATTAAGGGCTAAGGTTTTCTCTTCATTGAAGCCTATGCTATTTCAGTAATATGGTATAACATGTACGGGTAATTTAGTAAATTCATATAATAATTGGGGAGGGGTGGTGTGTTCCTCCGGGCCCTTGGACCCGCCCCATAACTGACCAGTTTTTTAATACCTTAACCCATCCCCGTCCAATTTAAATAAACGGTTCCCCAAAACTGTTTTAAACGGGTCGGGTGGGGCCCTGCCGTGGTGGTGGTTTTTTTTGCAGTCCCGACCCATGGGCTGTACTATTATTGGATAAACCTTTTAGGTACTCTCACCTAGGACTGTACTCCCCATTAATGCAGAATGATTTTAGTAATGTGAAATGATTTTAGGTTCTCTTACCCAGAGCCATAGCCCTTTTAGTGCAAAAATCATTTTAGGGACTCTGACCCTGGGTCATTCCCCCTACTATTGCATAAGTCATTCTAGGGACTCTCAACTAGGGGCTGGACCCCCTATTAATGCATAATGATTCTTCAGACAATACAATCTGTCTAGACAGAACCTGTACAACTTCTCAGGACAATCCACAATAATAATACCTAAACATAAGTCCACCAATATCACTACTCATCAACAGAGGATTCAAATCCATCTTTAATTCAAGAAATCTCAATATTCCTTGTCAGTTAATGAGTATAAGCAACAACAATCTCACTATAATAATAATTTCCAAACCTTGTACAAAATTGCAATTTAATTTTTAATCATGAACATCTATATCAAATCTCAACTCAATAACTTCAATCGAACAACAATTGTATCAATTCATACAGTTTAATGATTAAGTTAAGCCAGAAATAATGAAATAGATGAAATTTATGCAAGAACAATTAATTGGGTCAATTATTCAAGATTTAGATAATAGTCAGAAACTTGGTACTTTTAGCTTTGCATTGTCAGGAGGTATATTATATATATACATTTTAATTTTTTTATAGGTAATCAAGGAGTATCTAATCAACCTCTACATGACTTTTAATTTGGGCAGATGTTCTCTCCACCTCTCTCTAAACTAAACTTTCCAAATTACCTGTGTAGGCAAATGGTCACCAAGCTCCAGGATCAGGTAGGGCTAGGAGAGATGCTGCAGCTCGTGCTATGCAGGGTTGGCATGTCCAGCGTCTTTATGGTTATGGCGAGGTTGGTGAGCCAATTATCAAGGTTTGTTGAAACTACTAACCTTAAAAGTTGTTTCAGTATTTTGGTTTTACTCATGTATTAAACCATTTATTATATATATATATATATATATGTATGTATCCTTTAGTTCGTGAAGAAAATCTTCTGCTGATTTATTTGAGTTATTTATGGATTTCCCTTGTTTTTATTGAATAGGACAAGAACTTCAATCATATGCCGAAGCGTGAAAAAAATCTTAAAAGCATTGGTATGCTCATTTAATGAATTTTTTAATTTTTAATTTTTAAATTATAAGCATATAAAGTATTTCTCGGTGATAAATGCTCTCTTATTGATGGATCTACTTTCTAACAGTCCTGAAAAAAGCAGTTCAGAAAATTTTAGTGTCTAACATGCTATTTTCAAGATCAGTTTGAGTCTGTAAGATGTGCTTGTAAGATCTGTTAGTGAATGTTGAGCTACTTGTTGAATTTGTTCTGATGATTCAGGTTCACTTAAACACAAAAGATCAACTGAGGTGGAGCATGCTGTGAAAGCTGCACGAACTGAAACTGCTAAGCAGTTAAGCATTCGATCATGTCTCAATTTATACCTTTCTTTTTTCCTGTTTTAAGTTTGTTTTGCCCTTTTCTTCTATAAATTTATACATTTCGTCATTTCCTTTCGCTGCTTGTAAGCTTGGGGACAAAATTGGATGAAATCACTTTGTAGAGTATTCATTTATCACATAAAACCACTATTGCTATGGGTTGTATTGGATCTCTTTTTAGATTCTGTCACAGTTAAAGATAAAATCCTTTCAGAATGTTTAGTAGATGTTTCTACTTGGGTATTTGGGCTATTCCTATCAAAAGCATATTTAAAAGAAAGTTGTTTGTTTGTTTATTTTATTTTATTTTTGGGTTGATAACTGTAAGATCTTGCACCATTGGAGGGATGAAGCCTCTAAAGGACTCGAATCTTTTTTTTTTTTTTTTTTTTTTTCAACTTTATTATGTATTTTAAAAATTAGAAATTTGCCTGCTCAAAGTTCTCAAAACCTCTTTTATTCTTTTGGAGAATTATAAGTTTTCAAACTCTACTTTTGTACTCTGGCACTCCAATCTTTTTGTTTTGGTTTTTTGTTTTTTAAATAAAAAAGAAAATGACACAATTATCATTCAAAAGCACACTTACTTCACAATTATCTAAAAGAACACTTGCACTCTACTTTTTAGGGGTCATTCTGTCGTTTTTTCTTTTATCAAAATGATCAAGTAAATTGAAAAAGCATCAAGTAGAGTGCAAAATTGCATCACTTTACTGACTACACTTAAAAATTATTGTTGTCGGTGTTAATGAAGTTTTAGACGAAATTATTGGTTATATTACTTTGTAGAGACCGCGTTCACTGGACAACGATTGCTTCTAACTTCTATCTTTAGTCACTAAATGATAATTATCCAATTACTCTGTCAAGACAATTGCTTCTAGGTTGGAGGCCAAAGATTGGGATCCAATCAATCTGGAGAGTTATCCCACATTGTGTTTTGTGGTGTATTTGGAAGGAGAGAAATAGTAGAATGTTTGAAGATAAAGAGTCGTCTACGGCAATAGTGAAACATCACATTCTTTGCTCTCTATTCTCTTATGTGAAGAGGAGTTCTTGCTCTTCTTCTGATGATTTAATTATTTTTTTGGATTCCTTGGGGCCTTAGTCCCGGTTCTATTTCTGTAATAGGGACGCGTTCCGCTTTTGAGCACCTTTTTTATATTATTATTACTTATCAAAAAAAAAAAAAGTTAAATTCTAGAGTTGTAAAAATATTCAAATGTACATCACAACCCTACCAGTGATCTTCTATAGAATATAAATGAGATGATAGAGATCTAAGGCTTTCTCTAACTTTCAATGAATGAGCTTAGCTTTTCAAAATATTTCAAAAAAATGGGTTTATGGGCGAAATTGTAAATCCTTGGGGGATCTTTTGGATTTTGTGGATAGCTTGAAACTTTAGTGTCGCTTTGGGTGCCCTTTGTATTCTTTTGGGTTCGCTCCCCTTTTTGAGCACTTGTAATGATATCTTGTCAAAAAAGAAAATATAAAATAGGAAAAAAATAAAAAGAAAAAATATATTTCAAAATGTTTCTCAATGGTTGGATTCCCCCCAGATTGGTAGGGATGGTCTGTTTATAGCCTCAATGATAAATATGACCATTTCATACTCTTAGGACGTGTTTGGATAATTCATTTTGAAAATCTCGTCCAACTATAGGCGCCTGTCTATTTGCCATAGACGTCTGTCTCGAAGATCAAAGACGCCTGTCTCATTGTTTTTAGGAATTGTCTCTCTCGGTCAACTCTACAATCACAAAGACATAGACGTCTATTTATACATTTTCAGAAAAGGTATAAGGTATAGCTATTTGCTCATAGACGTCTATCTTGGGATTATAGACATCTTACCTTTTTCCTGAAAATACTAACTCATTGTTCTTGGCCAAAATACTAAGGCATAGACGGCTGTGTATATTCATAGACATATATCTTTATGGGATTTTGCAATTCAAGTTCCTGAGGCCATAAAGACATCTCCTTGATGTCTTAGTCACTTGTATTCTTTAGATATGAGCTTGTCTAAGCACATAGTGACTTTATCATAGTCAAATAACTATTTTGCCCTTAAGATATAATTCATCTAAGTCCAAGGGTCAAGTCATTCTAGGGTCCATGTATGATATGCATGAATGAATCATTTTGGCCCTAAACCATTTATAGTGTTCTAGACTTGAGCTTTCGATGCACATGCAACATTTACCACTTTACAATCAAGTCCTAGCACACGCTTACCTATACTACCCATGCCTTGAACCTTTATGCTCTATTGTTCATTATGATACAAGGTCCACATGAGCCGTTGAGTACTTGAGTCTATATGATAAATTTGTCAACAATACTCAAGTAGATTGTCAATTCCTTCACACAAATAGTTTTTTTATCATCAAAACTATCCAATCAACTTTGGGTTGAAACCTTGGGGCCAACAACTATCAATATTTGAGTGTAATCAATTGAGCTGAAGATGATTAAGGATTTCCATATTTTAGTGAAAGTGGGGGTATTTTGTCCATTGCTTGCTAGTCTGGATCTTGCTCTGAAGATGATTAAATGTTGTTGAACCTTGCTCTCAAAACTAGGCTGTTTTTGTTTTCCTTTTTATCTTCTCTTTACACTGTTCCAAATAGATAAAAACGTATTCCTCCCCCAACAACACAAACACTTTTATTTCCTTGCTTTTGTAACTATGCTAAAGGGGACTTCATTTTTTAGATTGGTGACAACAGTTGTCGACGTTGGCCCCCCTGCTGATTGGGTGAAGATCAATGTGCGTGAAAATGTGAGTTTGTTGTGGAACTATTCCAACTGAAATCTTACTCAACTCTTATTTTGTTTTTTTCATGTTGGAAATCTAATTTTGCTGTCCCTATGCACAGAAAGATTGTTTTGAGGTTTATGCTTTAGTTCCTGGACTTCTGCGCGAGGAGGTATGTACTTCTTGCGGCACTTATTTTTCGCTTTCCTTTTATTTACTTCTTCATGGTTCTCTATCTTTCCTTTGGCCCTTATTTTGATAAGACATGTATTGGGAGGGATTTTTTGCAGAGGATACTTGTGTAATTACAGGAAATGTCAAATTTTTTTTTTTGATACGTGAACAGGAAATGTCATATTGTTTATTAGCAAGCACAAAACAGATGCATCGGTGATGTTTTCAGCTGTTATGGATCCCATTGTAGTGAAATTATTGATGAAAATCATTATGATATGAGAAATTCGAGGACCGTAACCCTAGGCCCATATAGAGTAGCGCAAGGCCATAATTTACAGGAAGAGGGTTGCGTGGGTCCCTTTTTTTTTTTGGAAGAGGAGGGGGGGGGGGGGGGGGGGGGTTAACGAATTGTAACTAAATTTTGAATTTAAAATAAATTAACAACTATTCAAAAATTACTCTTAAATAGAAAGCATGCAAATCAATCCTTTCATCAAGATTAAAATCATATTAATTACTGAAAAATAAAATACGCAGCTATAACAATAGACACCAAATTTTTACATGGAATTGCCATGGGAAAAACCACGCGATCTAGTCCAGGAAAATCAAATCCAGTAACGAGAAAGAAGTTTACAACTATGTTAACAGTTTCTCAAATCCTAGAAAACCCCCTTTACCTCCTGACACCATTTGACGCCAAACTCTCCATTTGAGTCTCCAGGCCATCCGCCAGAGCTCTTCTCATCACATGATTCGCTTCTCGACAAGTACTTTGATCTCCTCGGCTATTCGTCCTGGTAGATTGTTTGTTGTGTGGAACTCCTTGTTGGTGTTTTAATCCCTGTAGGTGCAGCATGATTAGATGATCAACACATAACTCACCAATCTAGATGCAATGTTGAATATTGAAGAAACAAAATTCTAGAAAAGAATTGATGGAATGCTCTCTTTAGATGCTCAGGTATACTCGGAGAAAATGATATAGTGCATGCTTAGATTTTTGTTAATATAGGTAGTCTTTATGCAGAATTTAAAAGCCTATAGAGACGTGTTAATAGATATGTTGTTTAATAAGGAAACCGGATTTTGCCTAGTTCGATTAATCATTCGACAAAGACAAGGCCAATGACCTTCTGTTGATCCCTCGATCGATCGAAGTGCCCCGTCCTATTCAGACAAGGCCAGTGGCCTTTCGTTGATTTTGCTAACTATTGATGAATGCATGAACCTTAGTGGTGTGATGTAGAACAACTGAATCAGGAGTATATGAGCACACAAGATCATCGCAAGTCAGGGAGGTTGAAAATTAAGGAGAGATATACAAGTATAGAAGAAAATTAAAGAAGGAAAAGTACCCATTGATCCCTCAATCAATTGAAGTACCCCATCCTATTCAGACTAGGCCAGTGGCCTTTTGTTGATTTTTCCAACTATTGATGAATGCGTGAACCCTAGTGGTGTGATGTAGAGCTACTAGATCACAAGTATATGAGCACACAGGATCACCGCAAGTCAGGGAGGCTGAAAAGGTGAGGAGAGATATACAAGTATAGGAGAAAATTAAATAAGGAAAAGTCAACAATAGAAAAAAGAAAAGTTGAAAATAAACAAGAAGATTGTTGGTGGGGTTGACAATAGGTGACATCATGATTGGTGTAGTTGCCAACAAAAGATAGGTTGATTGAAGAATTATTCTCCATTGCAAGATTTAAGGAGGATTATGCTCCCCACCGAAATCTCAGCATACCTCTTTGGATTCCCTTTTAGTAGTATTTGACGGAGTGCTTTAATGAGCGTAATAAGTGTCCTTTATTTTAACAAGTGGTGTGGTTTTTGACTTGCCTGTATAAAGGCAAGAGATGTAAGTTTGTAGGCAAACATTCATCAATACAATTTCAAGTTTTCTCTATTATGAGTGTGTTCCTTGTGAATTCAAGGGTTTTAACTCTGTTCTTTATCGTTTCCGCTACGTTAGTTGGTATTAGAGCAAGGTTTCGAATCCAAGATTTGCCTTTGTTTCGATGGCCGGTTCACGAGATAGAAGCAACCCCTCCAGCGACAGTGATCGTGATGGAGTAACTCTTTTGAGGGCTGAGTTACAGGTTCTATACCACGTTAATCAAACCTTGCTTGATATGCATAAAACTATGTGTCAAATAATGGCTAGATTGACAACGGTATAACTTAACCGCGAGAACAACAGACTGCCCAACGACGGTGATTATGGACATCCTGCTGGTGATCGCAACCCAAACCCATCGATTAGGCTACCAGCGTATGAGGAAAACGTTGGTTTCGGTAACAACCGAGTCGTACAGGTCTTTAGAGATAATCGAGGTCGATGGGAATTTGATGATTCCAGGGATTTTCGTATGAAGATTGGCCTACCCACTTTTCAAGGTCATCTTTGTAGTAAAGAATTCTTGGACTGGATTATTGAAGTTGTGCGTTTCTTTGACTGTATGAGAATCTAGGAAGAGAAGCAAGTTAAACTAGTGGCTTGTAAGTTGAGGGGAGGCGCATCTGAATGGCGGGATCAAGTGCAGACTACCCGCGTACGCGAGGGCAAAGATTCGATACTCACATGGGTCAAGATGAAGAAGTTGATGATAACCCAATTTTTACCCCTTATTACGAGCAGGTTCTTTATCAGCAATGTCAGTCCTCCACGTAGGGAAGCAAAACAATTGCTGAAGAGTTCTATCGGTTGTCATCTTGTAACAACCTGTTGGAACCTGAATTTAGCATGGTGGCCAGTTTTAAAGGCGGGTTATTATGGGATATTTAGGAGAAAGTGGCGCTACAACCGCTATTGAAATTGTCTAAGATTGTTATGGCAGCAGAGAGAGCATAATCGTTATTAGAGAAGTCGAAGAATCGGTCTTGTGGTTCATATAATACCCCATGTCCTACACATGACACGGGTAAACAAACCGCGACAATCCCTGTTCCGATGACATGGCGAGGCATTGGAGATGGTCCATCAAAGGCCAAAACCGCAACACTGATAGGCCTTGTTGTGAGAGAAAATCCCTATGCACACCCAAGTATGGGCAAGTGTTTTCGGTGTGCAGAACCTGGCCACAATTGCCCCAAGCAACCGACGGTAAATTTGGTCGAGTATGGGGTAGACGAGGGTGAGGAAGGCGATTTTGACCCCACCTTTAAAGAAGAAGTGGTGATTGAAGGAGACAATGGCGAGGAGTTCTCCCATTCCTTGGTCGTGAGGAGGTTGATGTTCATTCCTAAGGAGGAGCACCGGCAACGTTATAGAGTATTTCGTACACGTTGCATTGTTAACCACAAGGTATGTGATGCTATCAGTGATAGTGGCAGTAGTGAGAACATTGTTTCCTCAACAATGATTTGAAAATTGGGGATTAAAATAGAGAAACATCCCCATCCATACAAAATTGGATGGAGCAAGAAAGGCTAGGAAATGCGAGTAACTGAAACCTGCACCGTTCCATTCTCAATTGGGAAAGTATATGCAGAGGAGGCGCGTTGTGATGTAGTTGATGTGGATGCATGCCATATGATTTTGGGTAGACAATGGCAATTTGATATCGATGCCACTCGCCGTGGTAGAGACAGCTTATACATTCTATAAAAGAATGGTCAGAAGATTGTTTTGGGTCCACTGAAAGAGGTCGAATATTCCAAGACTATCCCTGCTAAAGGAAATTCAGTTATGTTGATCAACTTCCTCTCTGGGCGAAGTAAAAACAGCCCCTGAAATCTTTGTAGTAATGTGCAAGGGGGGAGTGGTTGAACAACCTCCTTTTACGATACCAGCAACAGTGCATCCATTATCGGAGGAGTTTAGTGAGTTGGTGTCGGAAGACTTGCCTAATAGTCTCCGGCCCATGAGGAACATTCAGCATCACATTGACTTGGTGCCTGGGATGAGCCTACCAAATCTACCACATTACAAGTCCCAACGAGAGTTAGATCCTACAAGAGCAAGTGGGGGAGTTACTGCTTGATTTAGGAGAGCATAAGCCCATGTTCTGTTCCGGTCCTGCTAGTACCCAAGAAAGACGACAGTTGAAGAATGTACGTTGATAGTCACGTAATCAATAGAATCACTGTACAAATTTCCCATTCCATGGTTGGATGATATGCTGGATATGTTGGAGGTATTGAAAGTCTTCACCAAAGTGCACCTTTAAGAGCTGATACTATTAGATCAAAATGCTCCCTGGGGATGAGTGGAAAATGGCATTTAAGACAAAGGAAGGATTGTACGAGTGGTTAATCATGCCGTTCGGATTATCCAACGTGCCAAGTACTTTTATGCGGTTCATGAATCAGGTACTCAATCCGTTTATTGGTCAATTTGTAGTGGTCAAGCGGTACTAGGCCCCTACTTCTCAAAGGGAGGTCAGGGGTTCAAGCCTCAGTGGAGGCATGGGTGTGTGAGTACCAACTAAGAAAAAAAAAAAAGATATGCTGGTTTATAGTCAGACAGAAATAGAGAGGTATTAACAGCTTTGCAGGAGAATAAGTTGTTCATTAATATGAAGAAGTGTAGTTTTGTGACCCCAAGCCTATTATTCCTAGGCTTTGTGGTTTGTAGTGATGGAATTTGGGTAGATGATGAGAAGGGAGGGCCATTTAGGATGGCCTATGCCAAAGAATGTGGGAGAAGTACATAGTTTCCATAGCTTAGCCACGTTCTACCGAAGGTTCATCAAAAACTTCAGTAGCATTGTGGTTCCCATCACAGATTGCATGAAGAAAGGAAAATTCCAATGGGGGAGGAAGTTTGAGATGAGTTTTGGCTTGATCAAGGAAAAACTGTCAACAACCCCAATCTTAGTCCTTCCAGATTTTGAGAAGCTATTCCAGGTGGATTGTGATGCCTCAATTGTGGGAATCAGATTAGTTCTTTGACTACTACTATTACAAGGAATGCCAGTGGTGTTTTATAGTGAGAAACTGAGTGAAGCATGCAACAAGTGGACTACCTATGAGCTAGAATTCTATGCG